ACTATGCATCACACAGAGGAACTAGCAATCGATGAGTTTGCTCAGACTCCAACCAACCATATGCAAGCTAGCTAGTTGCAAGGATAATATCACTTCTTCTTTGGTACAACCCCCATAGACACATCGACGGACCAAATCTGTCCATACCCCTTCATAAGAAAGGGTAGGATGGTGTTTTTATGAAATACGGCGCCTGGACTGTACAATAGGGAGCAGTAAACTGGGCCGCCCAGCAGAAAATGATGTGCACGGTGGACTTGCAGTGAAACTGTTGTGTAGTGGACTTGTAGTGAAACAGTGGAAAATACTAAAAAAAAGTGCTTGCAGCAGGAACCGAACTCAAGACCTCCCACAATAACACAATCGAGCACAACAACTCGAACGAGCAATCATCTTGACTAATTGGCAGCGCAGCGTTTTAAGAACTATCAATTGATCGAAATAGCCCAATGGATTGATCAAAAAAAAATAACTTTGAGGTGGTTTCGTACCCTACAATAATTTTTTAGTTTGTTCTCCGCTATTAATGACTTTGGAGTGACTCTTTGTTGCACGTTGAGGGATTGTTATATGATCTAATTATGTTATCATTGTTGAGAGAACTTGCACTAGTGAAAGTATGAACCCTAGGCCTTGTTTCCAAGCATCGTGATACCATTTTTGCTCACTTTTATCACTTGCTACCTTGTTGTTTTTATATTTTCATACAAAAACCTATATCTACATCCATATTACACTTGTATCACCATCTTGCCAAACTAGTGCACCTATACAATTTACCATTGTATTGGGTGTGTTGGGGACACAAGAGACTCTTTGTTATTTGGTAGTAGGGTTGTTTGAGAGAGACCATCTTCATCCTACGCCTCCCACGTATTGATAAACCTTAGGTCATCCACTTGAGGGAAATTTGCTATTGTCCTACAGAACTCTGCGCTTGAAGGCCCAACATGAGTCTACAAGAAGAAGGTTGCGTAGTAGACATCAGAGACGTGCGCCGCTAAGCCCGGGAGCTGCCAGTGATGGGGACGGCGGGGATCTGGGCTGTAGCCCTGCAGTATGGAGGGATTGGCAGCACGAGAGGTCGCCCTTGATCTTCGTCGTCCCGGCGGTTCGGCGCTGCTCTAGCGGCTTCGTAGAGGGGGCGGATCTGAAGGGGACATACGCAAGTGGTGGTGCTTGATCCCCGGAGCAACGACTTCAGTCATGGCAGTGGCGGTGTCCCCTGCACCGGGGATGATGGGCCAGGTGGTGGGTCCTTGTGGCGGCACCGGTGGCGGCGGATCTTGGGATCCTGCTCCTAGGGACGTCGTAGGATGTGCGTGGCGGCCGGAGCTTCCTCTACCATCGGCGGTGCTAGATGGGGGATCATGGTGGTTGTTGTCGTTGTATGGGCGACGACAACGGCTGGCATGATGGTGGGTGCTCCCTGTAGTGCCCGAAATCGGGGCGGCGGCCCCTCTTCATCAACGATGGTAGACTCCGGGATCGTGTGGGCCATTCAGAGTCTAGATCTCGAGGTGGTGACGGCCTTTTGAGGCTGATAGCGGTATGGGACGTCCCTTCCATCAACAAATCGGGTTTGATGTGGCTCGACAGGTGACACATGTGCCTCTTTCGAAGTTGTTGGGCGGTGCATGTCGCCGGCAGGTGAAGCCACCGGTGGATGTGCTACCAACGGATTTTAGGCACAACATCTTATATGGAGACGTCAAGTCATGCCTGCTACCGGCAGGTAATGCATGATGGCTCTGGAAGAGCCGCGGAGGTGCCATGTTTAGCCTATCGATGTCGGATCGAAGGTGTCGCGACAGTAGCGGGAGGCAAGCAGTATGGGACGTCTTTGTCTTTTGCTGTCTCCTCCAGTGGTATCCGGCTATCGAGGTGTCGGTAGACGGATAAGGGCGGATGATACAGACGGCTTCAGCGACGAGTTTATGCACTCCGATGGAAACACAAGATCTCTGATCAGACTATGTTGGAGCGCGCCTATGTCATGTCCTTGCTGAAGGTGGTGGATTGAAGCTTGACTTTGGGGATGAGAATCCAGAGTTCAACCTTGTGGTGGACTGGCCATCATCGGCGCACATGCGGCGATCCTTTTTGAAGGCGTAGTCTAGGAGTTGTGTATTTTTCGTTTATATTATCTCTTGTATCATAGGGGTTAATGGCTATCTGAGGAGGTACTGTCGCAAGGTATATGGCCTCAGCGTTTGTTTTCTGCTTTATTTCCGGGGTAATAGTGTTTGGCTGCTGGATTTTGCACTTTTCATAACATATGGCTGCATGCATTGTCCTGATGCAGAGGTCGGGGGTTATCCTTCTTTTAAGAAAATGGGATAACGGAAAAACAATATGCAAGAGATGAACGTATTAAGAAATTATCAAAACATGCTCTCGCCCCGCTTTATATATAAAGCAACAACGCCCAGTTACACGGCATAACGATACAATGTGGTAAGGCGGCCCTATGACACATCAAATCCCTAAATAACTAGACAACACAACCGAACACAACTATGCTGTCAAACACCTAAACACAGAATGACCAGATTACAACGCCACGACAGACCTAGGACTCCTAGCCTTCACGACAACACCCTCAGAAGGGGAATGCAAGCACCGCCTTTGTCGAGCCCATATAGGAAAGGGTTTTTACAGGAGGCTTGCCACAGGGAGGAGAACCGCGATGACGTATTCAAAAAGATAACGACACCCGGAGATGTCCTCGCCACAAGCGCCAAAGCGCAGATTTTTCGCTCGGTAGCTCACCCATGACACGCTGAGGCACCCAGACCAGCCATAGCGAGAGCGGGCCTCTGAATCCGGATCTAGGCAATGCTACTCCTAAGAATAGAAAGTGTGCCCGAACCATCCACCGCCACACCCGCACCATCTAGACGATCAAGAAGCGTAGCCACCACTGCCCCAATGAAGCCTCCGAAAAGCCACCATATGGACCACCATCGGAGGCCGCTGCCTCGGCTTCCATGTCCCGGTTGCTTGAAAAGTGAGCAGCAGGGCATGCTTACCTCAATCGATAGCTTGCATGCAACACAAAGGTTGGAATGGTAGCTCTCTGGTGGATTTGTTCACGTCCTGGTTGCTATAATTCTTACATAGGATTGATCTAGCTTATCTGATTGTTCAAATCATAGTCTTACTACTTGTTGTGGACATACCAGTTTGGCGCTCAACGAAGATGGAAAGTAACATTAAATGGTCATGTGCTTTACACTTGTTATATTATCCCAAGAGTATCTCATACTTCCTCCGTCCGCAAATACTTGTCATCAAAATGAATAAAAGGGAATTTATCTAGACATATATTAGTTGTAGATGTTTTAGAAAAGGAGGAATACACCGGCCTCCGCATCTGGACGATGCATACGGCCATTTTATTAATTATTAAAACAAGACCTTACAAAGTCATACAACAATAAGTCCAAAGCCATCATCTAAGCAACATCTGTCGCTACTCCTATCTAGTTGATGACGGGGCGCTGATAGTCTGGGCCTAATACCAAACAGACCTCGCAGCCAAACCTAACATCTAAGACCTGAGGTCCCAACTAGGACGCCTGCCGGGTATGGGCACCCACCAGTCCGGCGTGGTCCTCAACCAGGACGCCTGCCGGGTATGAGGCCGCCGCAGCCATCTGCCACCAATCCATCTTCAGAGCTGTACTGCTGCATCGACCTTGCCCGGTCTAGCTACCGCCGATGCCGGACAGTGTCGACCTCCTGCGCGTGTCCATCACCACACATCTGACGCCAAGCCTCCGCTGCTCCATGCCGCCAAGAGCCGCTGCCATGAATATGTAGAAAGAAACACCGCTCCACCGAAGAAGCCATCCGCTGGTCCCTCGAGCCCGAGTGCATCTCCAAGAATGCCGCCCCCAAGGGGGTAACGCACATGAATGCCGCCATCATCCGATCAATTGATCTAGGGTTTCCTTCGGAGGTATTGGGTGGGTTTGGGATTTATACCTTGATGATGCCTTTATGAAGGAAACGATGATAAGGGCATCGTCATCACCGGTTCCGGCCAAAGACCGAAGACCAAGGTTTCACTCGGATCCATCCCAAGAAATCCACCCGACAACTTGTGCACTATCTCGACCACCTTCAAAGCTCCAGATCTAGCCGCCTAGATCCGGCGACAGATACATCTTTTTTTATCCATTTTGATGATAAGTATTAGCGGACGGAGGGAGTATGTATATATTTGTAACCATGCATGTTATATTCCATTGTAGTTGTATGTTGAAACGTGAAAACTCAAAGTCCCTTTTGGATTAATAGTATTTGATGAGCAATCCAAAGTGTTCAAAGCAATTTTACATAAAACACACATGATTAGAAAACCCTTCGTATCACAATACAAATCTGTAGTTGTGCTACGAAACCATCACTATGGACAAATAACTTGAATGAAATAAAAGTTAATATAGAGCAGTGCTCTCTGCTTAAGCCCACATTCCGTTCCATATTTCTGATGGAAAAGTGTGATCTTGCTTTCGGTAAGAGTCGTTCATGAACTAGCCGCCTTGTCTGTAACTCCACACTACTTTATTAGTAACATTCTTCAGATTCGGTGTATGCCCTGTTCTTGTGTGTCCCAGCACATTGCCACGATAGAAATGGAGACACGCTAACGTCAGGCAGCTGGGAGATAAGCCGAACGATCAGTAAACATGTTATTATGTAATTTTGGTGTTCCGTTTTGCAGATACCGTAGCATACATGTGTTATTTTGTAATGGGCCAGTTTACAGGAGGTCAGGTGAAGAACGGAAATTCTAACATTAATATAGCACATACATCCTATACTACCTCTATACCGAAATACTTGTAGTTGGGGGAACTTGTATTAGCTTCCCCAGCTACAAGTATTCTGGTACGGAGGAGTAGATCATATCAAACTCCATTTTGCTTATTCAGTGCACTGATGTGGTGTCTCGGAGCATGCTAAGACAAATTATGATGTTTCAACCACATTTATAGAAGCCCGCGTCCATTGACCGGCAGTCCGTTCTCCCTCCAAGTCGAGAACCCTCCGGCGATGTCGGTCACGGCAGTGAAGCCCTGAAAGAAGATATATTTACCATCAAGTGTCACAGAGCCGGCAGGTGAAAGCATAGCTACCGATGGTGAGATAGACGTAGGACAGAAAGATATGGTAGTGCTAGTATTTATGCTTACAGAGGAGCAGAGTTCGGCTGCCGCCATGAGAGATCTCTTGCCACTTTGGCATCCCTGATATTGACAAATGAAGTTTTCTCAACATAAAAAACAGTCAGCTGAAAGAAGGAATAAAAGAAAACGTTAGGCCATCAGGGCATGCGTACGATGATGATCTCGTCGTCCCTGCCGAAGATCGCCGACACTTGCTCGAGAAAGTGCGGGTTCTTGGCCATTCCTGAGCCGGTGCTATACATGTAGGGGACGTTCACCGCTCCTGCCGGATGCCCACCACCGAACTCGCCCTCCGTTCTACACAACCAGCAAATCTGATCGAATGATGCAACCAATCTTTTTATGTACACAATGTTACTGTGAACTGAATTTTTCCTGTCAGTCAAGTTGAGAGAACAGAGTAGTACAGGGTAGAGGGGCAGCAGAGCATGCAAGTGGTTATTGTCGTGTGGTTTGTGTACGTACCTGACATCGAGGTAGCGGTGACCGGCCAGCTGCAGCTCGTAGGCGACGCGCACCGACACCGACGGTGGCACGGCCACCTCGGCCTCCTCCGCCCGCAACGCCGCTACCCTGGCGCCGCCGTATCTGGTGACGAAGCAACAGGCGTGTAAGAGTTTGTCCGTGGATACTCGATGGATGGAAGGTACAGATTACTCCTGCTCATGGTACCTGACTGAGCCGGGCATCCTCCTGGCGGCGGCCACTGAGACCGCCCTCGCCGCCGCCACGACCCGAGGATTCGCCCTGGTGCACGCCGCACTGTGCCGCAGCCTGCGGTCAAAACAGAGCGCGTAGAGCACTGTCGGCGTGATCGATGAGATGAATATCGCAAGGAAAAAGGCCCGCCGGATTGTTTACTTACCTGTAGGAGGTGAAGGCGAGGGGCGGCCAGTGCGCGGCGGCGGGGAGGGAGACGCCTCGGGCAAAGGAGAACTCGGATGCCATTATCTCCAGTCCGGTCCTCGCTCCTGTTCCTTCTTGGGACGATGAGTTCAAGCCAATATATATACTAGCTACGATGCAGATTAAGCGCCGATTTCTTGTTGAAACGTGGTAACCTTGCACAAACACATGGCATGGGGAGGCATATTTATGCTTGGTTCATGACGACGGTTGACTGCTGGGACGCTGCACCTGTCCTCGCCTCCTCCGCGTCCTAGGGTAGGATCCGACGTACACATGACTGTGACTGACTCCATCGACTGGAGACATATCCATTCCAGTGTCTGCTTATTTCTGCTACGTTGGTTCCGGATAAGGTGAAGATCTTCTCGCCACGTCTCACTTCTCATCTCATCACACGTATGGGACCACGATCACGTTCACGTACTAGTCTGTCTGGCCTCTTGGATCCACTCCAAGGTGACGCGCGTGTTGCATCGCCGTTCCTCGATCGCCAGCTAACTTGTTTTCTCAACAAGCGTACGCATGCACTCGTACATACGTATGTATACACTCGGTTTTATAAAAAAACACACCCACATCCTATCACTAAGAGCACCAGCGGGAGACTGAGCCGACATATCACGTTGAGATTGCCGAGGTCGCCAGAGACGCATTCGTCGTCAATAAAAATGTCTCTTCCCATTAAATACACGTCACCGACAGGACTGGACTAAAATAAATCAAGGAAATGCAAGCAGCAGCGTCGGAACTTGAATCGTCTCATCATGTATATATTGCTATACAGTAAAAGGCTTTTGTACTATTCAATATGAATTTTTTCTAGGTATGTTCTCAAATAATTCCCGCTGCAACATGGGAGGCATCTTTCTAGTTTTCAAAATGGGTTGTACGGAAGGGCAACGCCGGAGGCGATCAGAATTTGGATCTACCAACCAAGAGAACTCCATCACCGTCGCACCGTTCACCCCGCCGCCACTGGAATCGCTTGACGACGGACAGCCAACGGTAGGGTGCCCCCTCCCCCCCTCTTCTTGCTTCTTAACTGCTGGTCTTCTTCGATCTCCATCTACATACGGCCCGTCTTCCGATCTAGTCCGTGTTAAGGACGCCCTGGCTTGATCTCTGTCATGCCGGCACCGGCGCCGGCGTTGTGCGCTGCTAGGTGTTAGTCTTGCCAGGTGCTCAGCGAACACTGAGTGAGCCTCAAAGTGCTCATCACTAGATACGCCCTATAGATTGATGATGCCAACGCGCTGGAGCCTTGCGTACGCAGGCATCCACACTTGTCAACTGATGGCGCATACGTTGATTCTTGACGTGCTTGCGCTTTTAACTCTAGTCAAATATTTCACTTCTTCTTCGGTACAACCCACTTAGACACATCGACGGACCAGATCTGTCCATACCTCTTCATAAGAATGGGTAGGATGGTCTTTTTACGAAATACGTCACCTGGACTATACAATAGGGAGCAGTAAACTGGGCCGGCCCAGCAGCAAACGATGTGCGTGGTGGACTTGCAGTGAAACTGCTGTGTAGTGGACTTGTAGTGAAACAGTGGAAAATACTAAAAAAGAAAAAGTGATTGCAGCAGGAACCAAACTCAAGACCTCCCACAATAACACAATTGAGCACAACCATAAGAATGAGCAAGCCATCTTGACTAATTGGCAGCGCGGCATTTTAAGAACTATGACCAGTGACATATTTGACCATTTTTTGTATATTAGGACGTAACTTCTTTTGAACGCAGACATTTTTCCAAATTGTAAACAAATTTTTTAAATTCAAACAAATTTTCCAAAAAGCGGAACACATTCATAAACTCCGAACCAATTTAAAATAATGAGACTTTTTTTAATTCTGACAATTTTAAAACACAAAATATTTTGAAACTTTAAACTTGCTTAAAAAGCGACCATTTTTTGGTATTTTCGAACATTTTTGTAAAATATGAATAAATAAATATGTTGAACACTTTTGTAAATTTGCGATTTTGAAAACAAAAAGATTAATTAAACTTTTTAAACATTCCCGAAACAGGTAAAAACCGGCCTGAAACCATCTAAAAGGTACTAAAAACCAGCATCTGCCGTGGCAACGAACAGATTAAAATAGGCTGGCTCATGTTCACTCGTATCATTTGGGTGTGTGAGAAACAACGACTGTTTGACATAATAAGCATAGAATAGAGTTTCCCCCAATAGGCGCCCGATGGGATCGTTGCCGTCCCTTAGTAAAGCCAACGGCTAAAGCATTTTTTTTAATATTTTTCTGTTAATTCTTTTTGAAACTTGTTTCAAAAATTTGGAAAATTATTTAGAATACCCTAAAATGTTCTTGTTTTCAAATTTGTTAGAATTTTAAAAAAATTCTGGAATCTCAAAAAATGTTTGTGTTTTCAAATATTTTGTTCAAAAATAGAATAAATGCTTGTGTTTAAAAAATGATAATTTTATAGAAAAGTATGTTGTTTCCTATTTTTGCTCAAAATTTTCATCAATTGTTGGCAATTTCTTATCAATTGTGAAAAATGTGTTCAAACTTGTAAAATTTTCATACATAAATTGAAATTTCAAAATTGTTCGCAAATTTCAAGAGATGGTTAGTTCACAACACAATGTTCATTTTGGTTGATAATGGCAGAAGTTAAAATAACATAAGCTTTCAAATTGGGAAAAATTACATGCTCACGGGAGTCGTCTGGCCTAGTCTAGCACACTCCTCTCACCTAGTGGTTTTTTGGACTATGGATAAATGACTCCAACTCTTTTCAGCAGCCTGGTACGGACAGAGGCATCCATGCTAGGTTTGAATGACTTCCGACATCGTTTGCATGTTGCGACACGTCCGACCATTTATCGGTCCTTTTTCACCAAGAAAACTCCGGAAAAAGGATTTTTTTTCAAAAACTCAAAGAACTTGGCATGGTGCCTAGAATTGGCCATATAAGCTCATGGAATAAATTTGGGTAATGTGACGGATGCCAAAAAAAAATGGTCTCAAACGTACCCTTCTCGCCTACCCAAACACTCTTCATTGAATATGGTCTATTTTTTGACATGCATGAAATGATCTAACTTTTATCAGCAGGTGGGCATGCCCATGGTAGGCATCCATGCCATCTTTGAATGAATTCCTACACCGTATGCAAGTTTCATCATGTCTGACCATTTATTGACCATTTTTTCACCGAGAAAACTCTAGAAAATATAAAAATTGTCGAAAACTCAAACAACTTGGCATAGCGCTTTGAAACGGTCATACAAGGCCATGAAGAAAAAAAAGATTCTCAAACGGGCCGTTTTGGCCTACTCGAACTCCCTCTGTTGAACATGGCTATTTTTGGACATGCATGAATAGACCCCAACTTTTGCAAGCAGGTGGGCATGCCCATGGTGGCATATATGCCTTGTTTGAACGAATTCCGACACCATGTGAAAATTGCATCACGTCCGGCCATTTTTAATCGAGAAAACTTCAGAAAATGCAAGAATTTTCTAAAACTGAAACAGCTTGGCATGGTGACTTGAATTGGCCATACAAGACCAAGAGAAAATTGGAGCCATTTTAGGATCACTGATCACTGTATCCAGACTAGAGCAGAAAAAAAATCAATTTCATTGCAGTGCTATTATCAGGATCTCACAGAATCATCCCCGCTTTCAGAATTTTACACCCCAAGGAGCAAGAACCAAAAACTGCCTGCAATTTCCGTCAGATCAAAATGAATTGCAATAAGAACATTTGTGCTGAGTACTGACTGAGCAATGCAAAGCTATTGAGTACTGACTGGGCCCAAGTGTGTCATCTTCCTATCATCATATATTTCGAAGATAAAAACGTTACTGACAATACAGCTCTACTGACAGATGCTATCCATTTGGTATTTTAAGAGCAACGGTTACAGCTTCATTTTGGTGAATCTTGTTAAAACCATGTGCACTTTTATTTTTCATAATAAACCTCTCTGAACTACGATGGATCTTCTTATATAAGAGTAAATTGCTAAACAGAATACCACAAAAGGACCTGCTGCTGCACATAACCAACAAACAGGATTAGAAAGGGGGACACCAAGTGCTCAACTCCCACAGCAGAAGCCACCAAATCAGTGTTCATGTCAGATGCTTCATCTAAGAGAAATGCAGCTGGAAACGGTGAAGTGAACTAGTGTCTGCTCAAAGAAGACAGCGAAAGAAAAAGAAGGCAGCTTATGTTCAAATCCTGAAAACGATGTAATGTGCACAACTAGAAGCACGATCACCAGCTCACAAAAAGAACCCGCTACATTTTGCAAGATCATCAACTCATTACTGGCAAGAAACCACTGCCTTTTCATCATCCAAAAAAGAAATGAAAGATCATCAACCCATCGCAAGAATCCCTACAGGTAAATGCTTCATCCAGGAAGCACCACAGAGATGAATGCCAGAAGATTTCAGAAGTTCTGAATCATAGAACCGCGAGGCCAGAACAGACAGGTTCTCCCTGCCTCTTCGACAAAACGGAGCAAGTTTTAACTAGCAGAAGAAACACAAGAGCTGATAAGTTTTCTCGACCTATATCTATCTATATGTAAAAGTAGGCATCTAGCTCTGCTGGCATTGTGCCGAGGCGGCCAAAATTCTGAGGAGGTGAACTCTCAGGACTCCTGCTCCGACCTTTCTCTACTCCGCGTGGACATCCGGGTATCGCAGCCTACCATAGACTGAATAAGCAGAAATAATAAGTCAGTTAGGAATCAGACCATTAATCAGCAACAATATAATGACAAGATCAAGAAGTCAAAACCTGAACAATATAATTTGCAAGGAACTAAGCTTTTATGCACCATCTATTGTAGGATACTATCTATCTGCATTGTCTTAACAGGTTAGAAACTTAGTATCTTCTCTGCGAAGATGAAACGAGATGACTGAACTTGATTTGGCTTTTAGCGTTTCATAGTTTCTACTAGCGGCAAAATGTTATGAAAAAGGACGAACTGAATTATCTGAATGAATCAAGAAAAGAAATGTGGAACTAGTAGTTTGGAC